TATGGGGTTACGTATTGCTGTTAACTTCTTTTTAAATTGGGATGTGTAAAACTTTCAATTTAATCTTCAATCTCAAAATTTGAGTTCGATAACTACATTACTTAAATATGATTATTACATAAGTTCAACTAATTCTAAAAGTAAATAACTGAAAGAAAAAAAAAAAAATCACAAATTTTTGAAAAAAATTTTGACCAATTCGCACACAATCGTCAATTTAAAAACCTACTATTTTAGTATTTTAAATATTTTAATAAACGCAAAATAGCACAGTATTTACAAGGCGAAATTATAAAATTTGAAGAATCCAATAATGTACCGAGGGTGCCAATAAAAAATCAAAATGAATTACGCAACATTTCATTTATCAATTATATTTTATCGCAATGGCGAGGTTGTGACATGCTTTATATATTAGAAGTGGAATGAATGATTTTGGTCTGAATAATACCATTTTACAATTGGAATGATTCATTTTTTTCCAAACATACCTGAGCTCTCACCCCTGTTCCATTTGAAACAAACTATTAAGGATTGAAAATACGATTTTGCATCTTTTAACTGATAATATATACCTGGTGTGCCTTAAAAAGAGGTTCACTTCTATGAATTTTTTTATTTTCAAATAAAAAATCGAGATTTGGTATGTTAGTGCTAATAAGTGTACATGACTTAAATCGGGATTGATTGACACATTCAGTTGTTTTCTGTCACTTCCTGTTTCACCGAAATGACTACAACTTTTGATTTTTAAATGACACCCTCGTTTAATCGATAGGAAAATGACACGCTGAATAGAATGATCGCATGTGCTAATATGTCAACTTTGACATTTCTAATATGGTTTCATTTAAAATTGTAACATGCGGTTCAACGATAATTTGACCTGAAATACCAAGTGTGGGAAAATTAAATTTTAGTAAAAAATGCTTTTTTAATATGGTAATGAGCCACCTCGTTCCATTTGAAAAACTGAGAGGCGATTAAAAAAATACAATTTGGGCATCTTTAACTGACCACGAAAAGACAGGGAAAAACATTGACCATCAAATCTATTTTCCAAGGGTCCCTAACAAAATTAGTATATTTAATAACATCCATATTTTTTTCTTTCTCAATGCACATGATGTAAATTCAGTTCGTTCTACCAGTTATTGTTTCCCAATTTCCAGCCTTGTCCGGTACTTTTATATTATCTAAACTGTTTTCTACCTCGGTCTGGTAGGAATGGCAACATTCACGTCCCAAGTGCTGACACATGGGCGTAGAGCGCGGATTTTCGCGAAAGATCCGATTATTGGCCATTACCGTTTAATCGCTATAATTAGGGTGGTAGGGGGCGCTTCTCGGCAGCCGGAAATGCCGCCGCGTTGTCCATTATTTTTCCTCTTCATTCTTTCAAAAAGGGAAAAGCACGTCGCGCTTAATGGCAGAGGCTGGTATGTATATCGATTTAGTGGGATCAATAAAATGTCAATGATACTTATAGTAAATGAAATGGAATTATACAGGGGTGTATGTATGTAACGATGACTTATGAGTTCAGAATGGGGCGCCCATTAATTAAGAGAGGCGTTTTTGAGTATTTTTAAACCTGCTCTTTCCCCCTGGTAGTGTCAAATGTCAAAATTACCTCTAATCTTTTAGTTTACTCTTTAAAGGATAGATAAAGGGAACAAGCTTAGATTGGAATGCTCGATTTGCCGCCAAAACTTATAATTGTTATGGAACGCATACGTTGTAGGGCGCTGCTATAGCGGTTGCCAAGAACAACCGCCAAACAAGAACATAAATAATTTTCTCTTGTCCATATCTATTGTCAAAGTTAGAATCTTCAAAAATTGTTAAAACAAACTCATGGCACTCTAGATTGAAATTTAAAATACGATTTTTTAAAGCGAGAATGTCAAAGTTGACATGATATAAATACTATTCAGAGTGTCATTTTCATCGAATAAAGTAAAAAAAATACCGAGGGTGCTTCATTTAAAAATCAAAAGTTGCAGCCATTTCCGGTGAAAGAGACCAAAAACAATTGAATACGTCAATCAATCCTAATTTATGCTATTATCCTAAAATCTTGTTTTTTATATAAAAATGTGAAGTGGTGTTCGTTCTGGACGCATCCGGTATACTCCTCATAAATTAATAAAACTCTATCTAATTGACAAATATGTTTAACTATTATATGGCGTACTTACACAATCTATCCTGTCTTTGCAACGGTTGACTAGTTACTCCTTGAGACACAGTCCAAACGGTAATATTGTACAATCTAGAATATACAAAAACAAATAACACATTTTACACCATGTTGAAAATCCCCTTTGTAATGGAATTTGAAATTATATATAATAATAAAAATAAATGTCTCATTTTAATTTATGTGACTCAATGAAAATACACCATATTCACCTTTCCTTAAATGTATAAACAAACACTTATTTATTAGAGACAGATGATTTCCATCAGAAATATTTTATTACTCTCTCGTTGTGTGCTTAATAAACAGAGAAAAAAACATATTAGTAAACTCTATAAATAACTTAAAATGTCTAATAATAATGTAATAATATTTTTTTTAATAGTTTATTATATGAGAAATTACTTATTGATTCAAAATTACTGTTTTAATTCTATTGCAAATAGCGTTTTACGACTTTGCAAAAAAAAAATAAAAAAGTAATGCTGATTCTATACAGGGTGCCTTGGCTCATTCGCCTTGGTTGATTTAACGAAAACAGAAAGATGTAGAAACAAAATCTTTGCTGGGTATATGTGGGAGGTAATGTGCACAATTTTAAAATTATTTTGAAATATACAGGGTGTTTCTAGAACTAAGATCCATACTAAAGTTATATTTTGTTCTTATGGAACACCATGAAAACTAATAGATATGCAAAAGCCTTGGAAAAGTGATAGTCCATTTTTATGTAAATTTAGTATTCCAAAATTTGATATAGGGTGTTTCAAAAAATGTGCCATCCCTCGTAGGGAGATTCCTCATGTAAAAATCTAGACTCATTTTGTATCAACAAATCTAATTTAAAACAGTCTGCTTTATTTCATAGCTACAGAGTGTCAAGATCTTATTTTTTAAGGATTTATTATAATTTTCTTCCAAGTGCTTTTAGCGGTTTGAATGAAATTTTGAGATATAAAGTTACTATAAGTGCATCATATTTTACTGCTAAAATTGCATCACTGTGCATATGGCTATCACTAGAATATTTATCTAAAAAACATGTGCGCCAATTGACTTTTTCTCTTGTTAGCAAAATTTTGTAATTATCTTAAATACCTTTTATTTTTTGGAATTTGCTATAGTTAGCACTAAACATCAGTGATATAATTAAAAAATATAAATAAATGATTTATTAATCTTATTTTGAATGTAATTTTATTGTTTGATTAATAATGTATGACCGAGAAAAATGTAATATTTTAAAAAAAAAAAAATGGAAATGAAGATCGCTGTCATTTTGTATGTAACTTATATGGTAAATAAGCCGTCGATCTTCATTTCATAGCCATCGCTGGCTGTTTTTTCGATCATAATGGCATATACAGTGGTGGCGCACCTCATTCGCTCCGGTTGATTGATTGTACCAGCAATTTTGATACCCCCTGTATAAAGCAAAATTATTTTTTTTTTTTAAATTTTTCAGTAAAGTTTATTTCCTTCGACTTAAAAGTCAGCAGAAGAATTAATTTGAAAGTATTTGTACAATATGTTGACAATCTTTTTTTTTTTTTTATTTTATTTAAATATCTCAAAACCAAAGCTTGTAAACATATTTTAGCCTTATAATAAATGTATTACTATTTTGTGTCCACGGACCCAAATACGAAATAAAAATTGGGTGTTCCATAAGAAAAATATAACTTTGTGTGGATCTTAGTTCTGATACATCCTGTATATTTTTAATTTGATTTTAATTAAGGTGTACATCTGGAGGTGTTTGTCAGATATAACACCCATAAAATATTTGTTTCTACATCTTTCCGTTTTCGTATAATCAACTGAGGCGCATAAGGTGTGCCACCCTTATAACAGGGTGGTTCGAACATATTCTGCAGATAAAATAAGCAAATTACTAAAAATGTACGCCTTTAAAATAATTCAAGGTTGTAAGGAGATATAGGGTGTAAAATTTTCATGTTTATTTAAGTTTTTCCAAATAATTTGAAATAATTAACAAAACCAAACGTCGATATTTGGATAAAAAAAAAAAAAATTGTTGAAATTATTGTATCTATAGTCCGTCTAGAAAGTATCCGGAAAAAAGAAAGTAAAATTACAATTATCGATATATATTTTGAGGACTTTGAGTTAAAAAAATTATAACAAATTATTAATTTTATTTCTACTTATACAACCTCCATTCAACTCCAAACACTTAACTAAACGTTAAAACTGAGCGAATCAAATCTTGTTTATTTCGCAGAGCTGCTCGTTCCACTTCAATCTCCATTAGTCCGCATATGTTTTCAATGGGACCAAAGTCTGGTGAAGCTGCTGGTTATGAAATTGTTGCCAAATGGTTTCTTGCAGACACCAAATGGTGATAGGCAGACGTATGGCATCTTGCATTATCTTGCTGAAAACGCCACCCCTCTGGATATAAAACATGAGCTGCTTCAAGAAGAAAACCATTTAAAATATCACAATATTTTGCACTAATAACAGATCCATCAACTATATACAGAGATGTAGCACCATGCTAAGATATTGCTCCCCAAACCATTATTTTAGTGGGAGATTTTGAAACTTGAACAGTAAATATTTTCTTTTGATAGGATTTTTAGGTGGTTTCCACCAAGCTGGAAACAACTTCGTCAGAAACAAAAACATTATTAAAATTATCTTCTTGAAAACGCTGACAAAAATCCATTCTTCGCTGCCTATGTAGAGGTGTTATTGCATTTTTTTTTTTGCTCTTGATACCCTTATGTAGCCTTTCAGTGACATGCGGATGGTTTCTGGACTAACTTTTAATTTTCGCTGACTTCCAAGTCTGTTAGCCAATTTGCGAAATCCTAGGCGCGGATTCTGTAGTCCTAATGCCACTAAAGCGTTTAAATTGTTTTTGCGAATCTTACACGGTCTGAAACTGGTATATGCTTCATAACTGTGCCATTTTATCCTCTTTATTGTCTCACATACTGCACTTTTTCCTAGTTCAGTCAATTGCACTAATTTTTAACGTTTCGAACACCTTTTCTATACACTATTTCTCTTTTTTTTATATTACTTTTTTTTTACTTTATGAGCATTATTTCTCAAATCTTAAGCTGGTTTACAATCAACAATATTTGATAGATGGTGTTGCCATGCGATTTTGGTCATAACCTACTATCGGCACAACCTACGTGATGGATTACTGTTTAGAGTAAGTTTGAAAAAAAATACATTAAAAATTAGGAAAAATATAAAATTCCGGATACTTTCTAGACGGACTATATTAAGGATAAAAAGTTAGTACCACCACCAGTACCTTCTACCGTAATGGAAAGTACCCTTTCAGGGCTGTTTTTTACACTTTACTGAAATTTTACACGATCGCCATTCGCTTTGGCATTAAAATGTAATGTGTAAGAGTACCAAATTTCAAAATCTTTAAATGATCTTAAAATAAACAAAATATATTATTTTTATTTAAGCTTTCGAGGGCTGTAACTTCTTCTGGAAGCATTTTAACGGCATATGTCTATAGAAACTCTTTGTTTTGTTTTTATCTGTAGAATAAATCTAACTGAAGTTAGATACACTATTTTCTCCAAAAAACCTTTATGGGTATTTCGCCACTGCACTGCAAGAAAATCTACAAAATAAAATAGTTATTTTTTGTAAACACTTCTGGCATTAAACCTAAACGGACACTGCTTGTCAGAAGTTAAGGTTTACAGTTATACAAATTTGCCTAAACAGAAAAAATGCTTAACGTTTCCTTGGAAAGTTTTCCTTCCGTTGTCGGGCAAAAAATAAAGAAAGAAGAAAAACTATTTAAAATATTTAAATTCAACTATTCTATTATTATTTTCTGTAGATGTCAGTAATGTATGGTAATCGCTTCTTTGATTTTAAAGAACATAACATAAATAAACATAACATACGTAAAATTTAAAAATAATCATACAGAAAGTTTGGTTTTTTGGTTTTACCTTATTAAGTAATTGTTATCAGGTAGTAATAATTTTGAAGTTTAACTTGATATAATGTCATTTTAACAGAACGTCAACGGTTTCTTGTAGACCATGGCTGGGAAACTTAAATGGAAATGACAGTTCATTAAAAATAGTTTTTCCTCCAAGATGCAGAGGCGCAAAATATTAAAACTGTCAATATTAACAATGCAAATGTCAATATCTGACAATACCAAAATTTTGATTTTAACCGTCACCAGAGACGCTTTGTTGTGATCACGGTTTAATTCTTTTCGCTTTGATTTGTCGAATTATTGTAAAATTAAATTCCTTCCGATTTTTTGCCAGTATTCTGTTTTAGGACAATGTTTTAAAAAATGGTGGACAATTTGTGTTTTATAATAACTTTTAATTATTTTTATCATGGAGTTTAATTGTTGTACATCTGGTTTCCGAAGGATACAATGGTAAGTAAATTAAACATATCTACTTACAGTTATAGATTTTTAAATTAGTACCTACTGCTAATAAATGCTACTTGCAGAGCTTTATTGGCATATTTAATTTTTTTAATGCATTATGAAATTAGCGACGCGTTTTATATTAGCATGATCAGCAGATGATTACATCTGATTTAATTTGTTTTTATTATTTCAGGTCCCAAACGGAAATAAACTGGGAATCTTGCCTACACCAAAATTATATACCTAGCTGTTTCCAATTCACTTCAAAGGGAGGAAAATTATGTAAAACTGCCTGCTATTTGCTGAAAACCGCCAAAGATTAAATAATTATAACTGTAACAACTTAATATATGCTATTTCTAGTATTTTAATATATTTTTTAATTAATATCTGACATATAAGAACACTTTGTATGCTTTTAATTCAGTTGATTTATCGTTTATAATATGATCGATCTAATTAAAAGCACAAAAAGTGTTCTGCATGTATGTCTAAATTTATTTTAAATTAACTAAAACAACCCACCTTCCCCGCAACTCTCTCTTCCATTAGTATTTCTTCCTCCGTCTACCAGAGGCCCCCTTGTATAATAAAATTTAAATGTATTATAAGTTGCCTATCTATTTAATAGTATAAGTCTTTTATCTATGCTTGTAGACGTATCTACTTTTAAAAAAAAAACAAAAAAAAAAAAAAAACAATTGAATATTTTAAATAGTTTTTTCTTCTTTCTTTGTATTTTTTGTTTCCGACGACGGAAAGAGATAAATTTTCCGAAACGATAAGCATTTTTTCTTTGTTAAGCAAATTTTGTATGACTGTAAACATAACTCTGACAAGCAGTGTCCGTTTAGTTTTAACGCCAGTGTTTTACAAAAAATAACTATTTTATTTTGTAGACTTTCTTGCAGTGCAGTGGCGAAATAATTATAAAGGATTTTTGAGAGACGAATCCGCCACATAGGTGTATGTTTGTATTCATTTAAAACTTCCCAATATGACGGACTTCAGTATGGGAGGGTTTTAAAAACGAAAATCTCTAGACTGAAATCGACCGTAGTTCAAATCGTTCAAATCTAAGGTTCAAATTGATAATCTGTGGTAAAACCAATTGAACTCTGACACTTGGCTGACATTGACAGACATCGACGTTTACGGTCCCTTTTTCTAAATATTTTCATTATTTTGAGATTTTATTCACAATTTCTACTTGATTTTATACTCTTTGTGCAGCCCGTGAACAGATCAAGAACTGAGGAATAGGCTGGAAGATATTCAAAAGTGTAAAACGCTTAAAAAACGTATTAGAAAACGTTGACTCGTCCACAAATTCGTGAAAATAAGTTAGTCTAGAGGTTTGTAAAAAGTCTCTAATTATTTTGAGAAGTTCCTCGTATCAGTAATTTTCAGGTTTGTAATATGTATATGATAATAAATAGATTAAAACTTATATTTCAGGAAACAGCAGGGGCATTACAGATTGTTGTAAATCAATTTTAAATACTATAAAGAAGGTTTAAAACAGGTTTAAAAGTTGAGTTAGTAGAGAAGACTTAAATAAGGTAATGTTGGTAATGGGACCAAAGTTCAAATAACACTTGAAATATATAATATGTACAATTGTAAGTAGTTTTATGAATCTGTTTGATATCTATTATTGCATTGTTTTATATACTTGAAATATATTTTTTACTTCTACAGGATGCACAAAGAATAATAAAAATACATACTCACCAAAAGCACTTAAGGTTTGTAATAGACGTAGTTAGAATATCAAACACCAAACCAAACCAAAATTATGTTTTTATTTCCACTGGTATTCCTCGCATTTGAAAGGAAAGTAATTCTACAAATAAGCAGGACATTGTATAGTACACCCTATATTAATAATTCTTTTTATCCCATAATTTGTTAGTTGACATATTACTTACTAGGTATAAAATTTAGTATTGATTCCAAACCTATAGTTGTGGTTGTGACATATTCTGATGTGTTTCTGGCAATTTAAAATAAGTTAATATTTAAAATTTTAATTTTTTTTATAATGAACATTATTAATAGACACATATTTAATAAAGGTATGTGGATAATGTTCTGATTATTACAGTTTGCATGGATGTCTTTGTATGTTGTTATTTTTAATAAAGTATATTCTAATGAGTTTTTGAGTATGTCTTTTTCCCCTCAGAGATTAAACAAACTTTATATAAATTTCTTTAAGTAAATTATATCTACAAAATTTATTACCTTATAACTTTTGCTATAAAGACTTTGTAGAAGTTGAAACAGTTTAACAGTATATAAAAGAACTATTTAAATAAGATGTTTGAAAATATATAGCTGTTTTCGCACACATCAATTCAATTTGTGATTAACTGTACTGAAATAAAACAACAAATTAAAAGAAATGTGAGGTAATCTATAAACTATAACATGAAACGAATCATCCTATTTCCAAGTCTCTATTAATTTCACTTATTAAACAGCTATAATTATTCAATAATGTTGATAATTCTAGGAACTCTCAGATATCGTCAAAACATGAAAACAAAAAATCTACTTCCTATAGTTCCCATGTCCCTTTTAACTGAAATATAAGAACAGGGGAGTTAATATTCTCACTGAGAAAGTTTATAAAATACCTTTAAGTAAAATCTCTTCGAATCTGTTGTAAAATACCTTTTATTCTTTTAAATAATTTCAATAATCTATGTTTCTATTTATGATTTATGACAACCACCTAATAACCTAACTTTAACGTCAACTTGACAATCATTAAAAATGTTGTTAACCAAAGACTAAATCAATTTATTAATCTGCTAACGCCAACTTATTTTTCATTAAAAAATTACTTCAATTTTCCTAACTAGGTTTCATTAGTATATTGAGGAAACCTTTTAAAAAGAATTGTACTATATAGACATTTTTACACTATTTTATTGACGTCTGTATAGATATAAAATAAAAATATTATGTATCTCTATTCCAACTAGAAGTATACAAATGTGACAACTAATTTAGGACGAGGGAGTATAATATTTCACTTACCTGCCTGGGATTAAACCAGTAAACGTTACTAATCTCTCTGAATCATTGGCTGCTTTTTCCTGATCGGGAATATTAGTCTCAGATAAAGAAAACCTGTATAAGTCGAATTTTGAAGAAGTTTGTGGCGTGGGAGTATATCTTAAACTTATAGAATCCGTAGACTGGTGATTGTTCACTACCAATGACTCTGGATTGTGCTGAGAGGTAAATTAAATAACAAAGAAAAACAAACTAGTAGTTTAGGAGAGTAATACAACACAAACAAAAGAATAACTTAAAAAAAATAAAAAAAAAAAAAAAAAAAAATGTATATTTTATGATCTGTTCTGTTATTTATATGATACACCGTGTTGCCAAATTGTGGTATATTTCTCCAAAGAAAAAGGAATTAAATTTTAGCTTGATTTCCTTATATTTTTTAAAATAAAAAAAAAAAAAAAAAAAAAAAATTAAATATATTTTAAAGATGTATTTTTAACTACATACGTAGATGGCATTCAAAATTAAGAAGATTGGGGGAAGAAAAGGCGTGAAAACTTATTTCGATTTTTAGAGAACTTAATGGTACTCCTCCGAGTTGTATCACAAAATAATAAGTTTAAAATGATTAAATTCATGTTTTGTCTGTCTTTGTTATCAGGGATTTCATAGTCCCTTTTTATAATATAAATGAGTTGAACGATTTGTTTTCTAGACTGACAGACAACATTATCTAGATTGAAGTTAATTTATCATTTTATTTTTTTTATTTCCTTTGAGAGTTTATTTTATTAAATAGTTAAAGAAAAAGTTTTTGTTTTTACGAAAAAAAACCTCCTACACACCAAACCTGTTTAAAAATGAGTTTGAAACGAATGACGTTTGTATCCAAAACGTTTGAAACAAACATTTGAAAGGGGTAACGGTGTTTTAAACACGTGTAGCACTTGTTTTGAAACAAAATGTACATGCAAACTTTCTAATATTGTATTGTGTCTGGAGCTCAATTTTATTTTTTTTAAAGAGAAAAAAAAAACGATATGTGGTATGTTTAGTTGATATGACATATATTAGAGCGATTGACGTATTCAATTGTTTCTATTCTGGTCACTTCCTGTTCACACTCCACCGGAAATTACTACAAACTTTTGATTTTTAAATGACACCTCGGTATTGTTTTTATTTTATCTGATAGAAAATGACACTCTAGAGAATGACATAACATATGTCAACTTTTAATATTTTGCTTTAAAAAATCATATTTTAAATTTCAATATAGAGTGCCATTGCTGTTTTAAAACACTAATTTTTAATCAAGGTTTTCTTAAAACTTATTCCAATAATAAAAAACGTCCAAATCGTATTTTCAATAAAGTTCAGTAAAACGGAAAATAAAAAAAAAAAAAAAAAAAAAAAACATTTGTTTACAAATAATTTGGTACCACACACTTGGTATTTGAGTTAAATTGTCGTTATAAATCACAAGTTACAATTTCAAATAAACCATATGTGAAAATGTCAAAAGTTAACATATGATATAATAATATTCTATTCAGGATATCATTTTCTATGGAATAAAGTGAAAAAATACTCGAGAGTGTCATTTAAAATGAAAAGTTTTAATCATTCGGTGAAACAGGAAGTGACCAAAAACAACTGACTGAGTCAATGAATCCTAATTTTACAAATATATACCAATCTACTCAAATCTCAAGGTTTTTATCTGAAAAAATAAAAGTTATAGGGGTGAGCCAATTTTGAGACGCACACAGTATAAAAATAATTAGAAAAAAAAAAAATTGTCAAAATATTTGTTTTAGAAAAATTATAAAAAGGTTTAAAAATACAACCTATTTTCAAGAAAGATTTTTAACATTTTCCCATTAAAATATTAATTTTCTATGCTAAATTTTAATAATAAATAGTAAAATAGTATTCACAGATTGGTCTGAAAAAAAAATACACTGATTATTATCTATTTAGAGGATACTGCGCCGAACATGGTATTTTCCATCCATAAATTCACTAGTTGCCATTTGAAGGACACTGTGACGTCGATTTTCCAAATCAATTGTTAAGCTACTTCAAAATAAAACCAATACTAAACCTATACTTACTAGTTCTCGTCCTTAAAACGGTAACATCGCTTTCCAGGTCGTTGGATATTGCCTGTATGTCAAAAACATACTCTTCCCCTGGCATCAGATCCCCAACCAGTAACCTAACCAAGCCTGTACCATTTTGATTTTGACTTACTGTGCTCTTGTTAACCTGAGAAGGTGTAGTAGCCTCCCACCATCTGTAAATATTTCGTTTTCAATAAGAAATCTGAGTAACATCAGGTTTTTTAAAGAATTCTTTACCTTACAATGTAAGTTTCTACTCTTCCTTCGGGGCGAGGCCATTCTAACGTAACATTATTGGAGTCGACTAGTGGAGCAATATTTGACACTGGATTTGGTCTGAAATTAAAATTTCCGCATTTGCATTGAGAACTTTTAAAATTCTAATATTTTTTTATTATTTATCAAACATCTTAAAGAAAAAAATATATAAACAGGTGTTTCCTTTTTATACCCTGTCGGCAACAGAGAGTCTTGGATCCGTATTTACATGTCTAGAAGTAAATCGCTAAGTGTTTATTACATAACTACTTAATCAGGCGCTTTATTTCATGCGCTTGTGAAACTACTTGTTCTTCTCTCTTTGTTCAGTACATTTATTGTACTGATCACATTGACTGTACTCTGTACACAGGAAAATCGACACCAAAGCCAGGCGTTGCCGACGACAGTGTATAATTGTATAATTATAAAAATATTTGTTACTACAAATATATGTTTTTATAAAAATATATATGACTAAAAGGAATTAAATCATTCTGTGGCATGAATCTGTGCAATATATGGAAGTAATTCTACACCTTTTCTTATTATTGGCTTACCTTACTGTGTGATTTAATTGTTGTGGTTCATTACTTTCTAAGCCATAGCTGACAGTGTTAACTTGAATGGTGTACCTCTCTCCTGGAGTCATGTCCGTTACTTCTGCTTCAGTATTTTGAACAGCTGGCAATCTGTAACATAACAATTCCTAATTTAATACATTTTGAATAAATTTATCACCCCTATACGTTTATTTATCAATTCGTTAGAAAATACCGTGGCAATCCTCTTTTTTGGTGAATTAGATTATACAAAATTCGTATTAATCAAAATACAGTACTTCACAAGTACACCGTGCTGACAACTGTTACTTTTGGGTCGGTATTTACATGTGTGGAAGTAAATTGCACAGGGATCTTATTAAGTCGGAGTGAGAGAAATACGACGGTGTGCTGTTGCGGCGTTGCCACATTTCTCCGGTACGCCATTCCCTATCAAGTAAAGTAAAATCACGATCGCAAACCGCTTATTTTTAAAAGACTTTTTTTCGAAAAGATAAAATCATTAGATACGTTTCTGAACATCTAAAATATAGAGTTATAAGGATATCGTTAGAGTATCCATTTTTTTTTATAACGAGAAAACGTCAGCAATCGCGATAAGTTAAAAACTCTGTTTTTTATTTTAAAGTTCGGATATTTTACAAGATGTTTAAATTAAGAAAAATTCGATAGGAGTTTGTTTTTTTTTCATTCAAAAATTTAAAAAAAACATCCATTTACTTTTAGTACGTAGCAAATTTCCAGCTGTAGAATTAAAGCTGTCATGTAACTATTTTATTTAAAAAGATTTTCACATACCCTACTGTTTGCGAAGAAAATATAGCACAAATATTAAGAAAGTTTTGGAAAAAAACTACAATCAATTATTTCTAATGGATTTCGAGATATCGATTTTTGAATTCAGGGTTCTAATAGCGCGACCACTGTCGAACACCTACTCAATTCAACTTATTTTTACCAAAAATGCAAGTGTTTCTAGCTTGTACTTAAAATTTTACAAGCTATAGGGAAAATTACAATTCGTAAACAAACAAATAAAGTATTGTAATGAAGTCCGTATATTTTTTTGTTTGATCTGTTAAATGCTAGGCGTGAACATAAGTCGACCACGGAAGGATAGCTCGTCGCGAAAGTATTTCGCTGGTACACCGAGGGTTCGAAGCTGCCTTGGGATATAACTTTTTTATTTTTTTTCCGTTAATATTCTGATTGTAAAATATTTAAATATTTGTTTTTTTTGATCACCAGAACGGATAGCGTTTGTGGATTTATGAACCATACTGTATATAAGTAGAATTTGATATGTTCATTTGTTTGGAAGCATTATGGTAACAAATAATTCTTAGATAGGCTTAGTATGGTTTATTTTTATTTTTAGAACGGTTATGATAGTCTAAAACCGGAAATATTTTTAACGCTAAAAATTATTTGGTGATAAAATTATTGTGTTAAATATTTCGTCGATTTGCATGGATACGTTGAAGTTTTTTTTTGGTACAAACAGCAGATGGTTTTTGTAGATTCGACGAGTAAAACCGTTTTTTTGTACTGTAAGGAATTTTGATGGGTCGTAGAACGATGGTAGCCGAACGTGGTTCGTGGTTCCCGACGGGAAAGATTATTTAAGGGACGGGGAACGCGAAAACAGGGGTCTTCCTGCCGAGACTGAGTGCCGCGCCGGTGAACTTTAGTAAGTAAACCTCGTGAGTTTAAGCCATTCTGATCCGTTATTTTTTATCAGTGATGCTGTAAAAAACTGAATTTTTGAGTTTAAATAAGTAAAAGTACCGTATCTCCGTTTTTGGTAGTGATTAAGTATAAATCGTGGTCCTAGAGATTTGATTTTAAATAAGTATAAACCGTATTTCTGATTTCTGAGTATAAATAGTTAAAAACCCAGCGTTTAAGTTTCTTTTTTTTAATACCGGACCGTAAATAATTAGTGTGACCGAATTCCGGGCTGCTGTAGGCGATTCCGCAACCATACCGATTCGTTTTGATCCGACGCCGATTTTCTTCAGACAACCAGACCGATTCGTTTTGTTCCGAAGCCAATTTTCTTCCGAAAAAAAGGTAATCGCATTCTTTATTTTTTTTAACCGCCAGATACCCCATCAGAATTCTAGTAATCGCAAATTTTAGTTTCAGCACAGTAAAGTTTCTATTTTATATTTATGGTATAAAATTTCTTTACAGATGAGAATTTAATTAAAGTTTCTATTTTATTTTACCATTATAATATTTCTTACGTATTTGAATTTAATTAAAGATTGTAGTTTATTGGATATTATAATAATTTTCTTCACATATTTGAATTTAGGGACTGTGAACTTAGTTATATTGTTATCGTAGTTAATTGATTTAATTTTTCTTTTCTGCGGTATCTGACCTATTTCTGTATGTATTGATATAATTTATTTTTGATTGTTGTTGCTATATTTTCTGTTATAATATTTCTTTACAGGTTTGAATTTAGATACTGTGAACTTAATTATTTGCTATTGTAATTAACTGATTTAATTTTTTTTGGTATTTGACCTATAACTGGATGATCTGATTTAATTTATTTTTGTTCGATTTTGCGATATTTCATGTTTTAATATTGCTTTTTATATTTGAATTTGAGTACTTTGAACTTGAAGATATTGGATTCATATTTAATTTATTTAAATAAACCTCGTTATGGAATATATTCGACTTTAACTGGCTTTTACCCCATTTCCCTGGATTCTCCACTGTAGAAAAGCTACCCGTACTGGCAGTGGTGGTCTCTCAAACACTATAAATTTTGAGGGTGGCGCCCGAGAAGCAAAAGACCGACTACTCGGCGTTAGTAATAGCTTTCTAGGAAAAAAGGCTGTTACAGTATCACGAGACATAATTAAATCGTGAAGCTGAAGGCATGATGTACACCCTTCCCTAGAATTTTAGTACTGAGGTACTGATTGACCGGTCGACCGCGACGAATCTGCTATATTCCTTTCCTCGACTCTTAGCAATGTGTACAGTTTCTAGGTTTATTTCATACGTTTGGCAACGTGTTTACTGTTCTTTCTTTGTTCAGTATATTATAAACTAGCGATGGGAACTATCGAATGAATTAGACTATCGAATGGTTAATGAATGAATGATTTCAACTATCGAATGGTTTTATTCGAATAAAATCATTCATTCATTTGTATACTAAAGCATATGTGACAACCTCGCCGTGCGACTAAATGGTTATCGTTGAGCCACGACTATCGAATGCTTTTGATAAATGAAATTTAGTATTCGTTTGATTTTTGTATGCGTCAGTGCATTATTAGTTCTTCCAAATTTTTATAACTTCACCGTATAAATACTGTGCTATTTTTGCGTTTACTAAAATAGTTAAAATACTAAAATAGTAGTTATTTTTTAATTTTATTTATTGACGATTGTGTGCATGTGCAGGTGGTCAAAATTTTTCCGAAAAGTTGTGTGGTTTTCCGTAGTCCGATCTTTCAATTATTTAATTTTATATGGTATATGGTCTATTTTTTAATGGGAAATTTTGAGAAGTAGCAATTTTTAAGAGAGATGAGATGAACTTAAATTAATTTTAAAAGTACATATTTGTATTTTAGATGTTTTAATAATATGAATTAGTTGAACTTAATAATCATATTAAAGTAATGTGGTTAAGTAAATGGTTATCGAACTCAAACTATGGGGTGAGAAAATTAAAATGAAAGTTTTACACGTGCCAATTTAAAAAAAAAGTTAACGATGTTTGTATTTTGTTTATGCTAATTCTCTTACATGTAGTTTTTGCGAAGAAATATTTCATTTATTTTTTAAAGTAAATGCCAGTAAAAGTAAATATAATTTTTAAATAGTAATATAAAGCACCTAATATAAATAATTTTGATTTCTAATTTTTTATTTATATTTTCCTTCCATTACACTGCATGCTTAGAACATTAATAAATGTTTATATTTCATGATTTTAAAATTTGTTGTTAATATAACAAATTAGTTCTGTAATTATTATTATTTAATAAAACAACGTTGCCACACACAAAAAATTTAGAGACTATATTATTTTTAAATAGGATCTAATATAAATAATTTTGACATCTAATTTGTTGTTTATATTTTGCTACTACTTAAAAAAAATATTTATATTAAATTGTTTTAAATTTTGTTGTTAATAGGTATAACAAATTATTACTGTTATTATTATTTATTAAACCAGTCTTTGCTTAAAAACATTAAAAATAATTTTCCTACATCCAAAACAACAAGTATTATTGCAGTGTAACAACAGAATATTAATAAAAAAATGCAGAATATATAGACATACCTACTATCCCTAACTAACTAAAGCCAAACAGTAATATTCTTTGATAATATCAACTAATACCAAAATATGGCAACAGCGCCCTTCATAATGTATTTTCTGTGTAAATACTAGCACCTTAATAAAAAAAATAATGTGTCCTTATCTATATCTGACTCCGCAAAAAATCAAAGATGCCGGCTTCTTTCATAGCATTGCCACCGACCGCTGTCGGGTTTCTCGGAAAGAAACCTACGTCGCGTCGCCGGGCGACAACTAAAATTCAGTTAATATTTTATTATATTCGATCCTGACGAATAAATGAATTTCATAAATGAATGAATTTTATAAATGATTGGTTTTTGTTGCCGAATTACTAGAATACAATATTTCAAGGCAGATGACGGATCTATTCGATAATTTTTATTCGAATAGTTTTCAACGAATGTTTTCTTACTAACTATCGAATTATTCGAATGAATTGCAACTATCGAATGTTTCGATAGTATTCATTCAATAGTTCCCACTACTATTATAAACGCAATGTACTCTTCTTACATACGGAAACCTCGACCCAAGACTAACCTTTGCCAGCCCTTAGTATAGCCCTAGTCACCCTAAATCGGTGGTCTGAATTTTACCGTGCAATATAGTGATGGAGATGATGGAAACTTCAACATGATAAAAACGGAAAAAAGTGTGCTGATAGCCAGGGCCCAGGGGTGTCTCGCCGTTGGAATTACACGTACATTTTCTATGTTTTTTTTAATAAAATTTTGGTATAAAATAACAAATTTAAATTATAAAGCTTAATACTAATGCTTACCTAACCCACTGGTTATCACTGCCCGTTTTATATCTGATCGAATACTCAGTAATAAGAGAATCCAAAGGTGCTTGCCACTGAACAATAACTGAGTTTGTCGTCGTTTTTTCTATGGTCATATTTCTAGGTGGTTTTGGAACTATAAAAATAACATTTAAAATAAATTAGCGGACAGTTTAAATTAAAAAAAAATACATAGAAGTTTTATTTATTAAATAGCTTTTCAACACACCAACAATCTATCACGGGTCGAATATATAATTAAACGTAATAAAAATAAATTGAAAAAATTATATATGGTAGTAATGTATTATTAAATCTTTGCTTAAAATAGAATTAAGTTGTTTATTTAGACTATTCCCGAACTAGTTAAATAAAAAGTTCGCTTCTAGTTAATAAATGTTTAATTATATGTGCAGGATATAAACGAAAAAGTGTGAAAGAAATGGTTTACTTTGTTTATTACGATTTAAGCTGTAAAATACGTAAATAAAAATTAGTGGTAATATTTTTAAATCAACATATCCCAGTACAATATATGTTGCGTACAATAATAACATACCCAGTGACACAGTGTTTTGAAAAAGGTCTATATCAGATTTCTGTTTTAAGATATTCACTCAATTTTTTTAATAAAATATGCGGTTAATAGCTAAGAACATTTTAAAAATATTTTTGTCATTGTATACCGGGTGCGTCTCAAAAGTGGCCCACCTCTATAACTTTTTTATTTTTTTTTTCAGATAAAAAACGAGAATTGATATGTCAGTATATGACATAAATTAGGATTGATTGACGTATTCAATTGTTTTTGGTCACTTCCTGTTTCACCGGAAATTATTACATCTTTTGATTTTAAATAACACCCTCGGTATTTTTTACTTTATCCGATAGAAAATAACACTCTGAATAGAATTACATATCATATGTCAACTTTTGACATTTTCGCATAATGGTTTATTTGAATTGTAATGATTTTTTGAAGAATTGTAAATGATAAAAGAATTGTAATGATTTTTTACAAAATTGTAACATGCGGTTCATAACGACAATTTGACTCGAAATACCAAGTGTTTGGTACCAAATTATTCATACAAAAATGTTTTTTCCAAATAAGCTAATGAGCTACCCTGGTTCCATTTGAAAAAAATGAGATATGATTTAAAATACGATCTTTTAACCGGATAAGATACGAAAAACATTAGACGATCAAATATATTTTTCCAAGGCTCCTTGATTAAAAATTAGTGTTTTTAACATAGCCATGGCACTCTAGATTGAAATTAAAAATACGACTTTTTTAAGCGAAAATGTCAAAAGTTGACATATCATATGTCATTCAGAGTGTCATTTTCTATCGAATAAAGTAAAAAAATTTCGAGGGTGCCATTTGAAAATCAAAAGTTGTAGTCATTTCCGGTGAAACAGGAAGTGACCAAAAACAATTGAATACGTCAATCAATCCTAATTTATGTCAAATACTATACCAAATCTCGTGTTTTTATCTGAGAGATATCTATTCTTACTTAATAACAAAAAGATTAAACAAAAAGTCGGTTAATTTATGATAAGAAATACAGCGGGTTCCATTTGAATAAGCGAGTAATTTAGTTTAAAAATAGATATATTTCAAAAACCACACGGTATAGAATTTCATTTGAAAGTATACAACATTAATTTGAAAATATGTTTGAATCATACTGTATATTAACAAATATATTTTTAAAAATGCGCTACAACTGCCCGTATATTTAGAAACATGATTGGAGCAAATAACGCAAGTGAAAAACCTGTTATAGAGCTTTTCCGGAACTCTGGGCCAAAAAACAACAATGGTAAATATTTAACTATGCCAAATAAAGAAAAAAACTTACACACTGGTTGGAAATACTCATGAGGCTCACTCTTAAGTTCGTGGGATATGGCATAAATTTTTACTAAATAACCAGCTCCAGGATACAAATTACTAAGTATTATTTTGTTGTTATAAATAGTCATGTAGTCTCTATCGTTGGTGTCGTTTCTGATCCAAACGATTTCATATTTGTCCTGTTTGGAATTGACATCTGATTTCCAACTAATATTTAAACCATCAACCTAGAAAATAATACAAAATATAAGTTGCATATCTACATCTTTCTGAAAATAAAAAATAAAATATGATTTCTAAATTATAAAGTAAACTATTAAGTACGTAATAAGGTTATTAGGTAATAATTTTTAATTTTAAGACTGACTTCATGTAATATCATTTTAACACCAACGGTTTATATTAAACCTATCTGCTAAATACTAAAGTGTTGTTCTTTTTGATATTTTTGTGGGAGTTTTTCTGTGTTTACTTAGTTATTTGGTAATTTAATTTGTGTTTAAAATGCCGTCCCGTTATAGTGAAAACGAACAACGGCTCATATTAAAAGTTATCCAGTATTTCAAACTCGAAAAAGATGCTGGAAAACCCCTTTTGCCTCTGACGGCTGTTTACGATGTAATTCGACAACTACCGAGTTAATATTTTCTAACTAAATTGAAAATATTCACGTGTTTTATAGAGAGCATCGGAGGCTTTAGGAATTTCACGCTCGACCGTGCAAAGAATAAGTCCCAGAGGAATCATGAAAGATCAAGAACAAAAAGCAGCAACAAGTCACAGAATTGGTTTGTCCCGTGGAATTCCCACTTATAAGATACATGAACATATAATTAGAGCACGTATTTATTCAATGTATGCTGCAGGTAGGCTACAATACATTTATTATTATATATTACTCTATAGCAAAATAAAATTACACTAAATCACTACAATACTTTCTTCGAGCAGGCGAAAAACCCAGATTTTTTTTCAATGAATCTGCAGAGCAAAGATTCTGGAAAGTTAAATCACTGTCTTGACTTTATTTATAATCCTTACTTCTGAGTCTGGAGTCTAACCCAGTGACAATTTAAAATAAACTTTTTTATTTTTCTGTTTTTGTTGTTATGACCTGGAAGATTCAATCTCTCTGTAACCTGGAATGGGAATCCTTCAACGGTCTAAGATACTCGAAAAAGTTTTTGAGAACTTACGACTAAGAAAAATCAAAGATTTTCCTTGATTTAAGTAAGAACAATCATCCGATTGTTACGGGGTTTCTAACAGAACACTATCTCCTCAACGAACACCTCTGTAGGAGTTGAGTAACAACGGCTAATGCAGATTCTGTGGGGAAAATGAGGAAACACCAGAACACCTTATTACTGAGTGCGGCGAGACGACAATCGTTCGTGCCATAAACTTTGGTATTGCTGATGTCGGAGATGGAGAGCTGGCCTCTGTGGAGCAATCCCAGATACGAACTTTTGTCAAAGCCTTGAGACTGTATGATGAGTTATAACTCGTTATAACTCAAGAAAGAGGAATACACAATAGATTTATAAGGTCGCGGTGATTAACCTCCTCTTAAACATTCTACATCAATATGATACTTGGATAAACGCTTTCATTTCTCCTTATTACCAAATTCAAAACAAATAATACTTGCCATAGGTTTCAAATCTTCAATTATAGGAGCACTGGGTCTAGTCACGACATATATAGATTCTTCTTTCGATTTCATTTCCTTCGACACGGCTTGAACAGTTACAGAATAATTTCTTCCAGGGAAAAGGGCCTCTAGTTCTATTTTTGTCTGGTTTGTCATAACTGTATTACTATCACCTAGAAAGAGGGATTATTAATAAAAATAAATATAATATTATAAATAAATTCTAATAATTGGCGAGAAAATAATTCACAATGGAACAAAACAACAGAAACAGAGATGTTAGTGTAGAGAGCCAACAATCACGAGGTAAGAGGAGGCACTGAGAAGTAATACATCCCAAGTAGCAAATTTTATTTTATAAAGGCTGTATAAACAGTTATGTGATAATTTTTATAGGATATCTCAATTCATATAACGTGCTATAAGACCGGAATATGATAGCTTTACAACCAAAAAAGGCCTATTTTTATACAACCGTTTAGTAGTATAGAAGTTCTATAAAAAAGATATACAACTCTTATGCAACTATCTTACACAGCGTCATATAACTATTATAAAACTAGTTTTATTGTGTATTACGTGGTCACGTCTAAGAAACAGAACAATAAAAACATTTGATCATTTAGCGAGGTAAAAGAGTATTTTATTTTTTACCGAAGAATATTAGGAGCAAATTATATTTTAAGCGTGTCGTAAAATGAATCTAGAGGATGTGGATTGTTAAAAGGAGACTTTACTTGACAATGAAAATGGCGGGTAGAGCCAGAAGGTACAACAAATATGTAATATAAAAAATCATTAATAGGGTTTGAAAAGTAGGGACAATTTTTGTTGCGCCGAAAATTTTACTGGTAGATTGTAGGTATGTATTTGGCAAAAAAATAAAGCGCTTTAATTTCGATTAAGGTTTACGTATAAATTTAAACAATAAAATAAAATAAAATTTTCAAAAATTCTTGTTTTTAATTTAATTAAACACTTTATTACTGTATGTGGGAATCTTATCACAAAATAGTTCTCAAAAATAAAATTTTAAAATTTATTTTCATGTTTTTAATTTTGCCTCATATAATGGCGGCCATAGGCCATACAAAAATTCTGCCTTAAACATGGCGAATTATAATGCAACCATTTTATTATAAACGAATCCCTTAAATAAGTCTTTGTTGTAAAATAAAACGGTATAGGATAAATATCTATGATAACGCAGAATTTCCAGGCACTATAGAACTATTTTGGACATATTCAGATTTCTGACAAATAAATGTTGCCAAATCTCATTTGATTAGTATTTAAACTAACAAACATGATCAGATTTTCATGGATTCATGCACGCAATGCATTTCATGCATGCCCGACGAGTGAGTGGCAACCTAAAGACTTGGAAAATCAACAATAAAACAATACAAACATTACTTCAGTAAAACTTTTACATCAACGTGGCAACAATGTTTTGAAGAAGCCATACAACCCGAGATATTTTGGCTGTTGGGAACCCAGGGAATTCTCGGGATTATTTGCCGTAATTTCGAGGAGTTTTTTCTTACATGCTCTTTATAACTACCACTGCGTTTGTTAACTTTTTTCCAACTTTGTCCAGAATTCATAATAGCTGTGATTGATTAAACTCGTACGTAGATATTACTTTTGCAACAACAACATAACAAAATAAATAACTAGGTATACCATTTAATTTAAAATGAAGTTATATTATGCATTACCAGTTCTATAATACAGATATTACAGCGAATTTATTTTGTTAATCACAACTTTATCATATAAGGCTATATAACTGGTGTTGTATACAGTCCGTAGTTTAACACAATAAAACATTCTATCATACAACGTAATACAACTTTAATAAGACAAGTTTAAGTAACTATTATATGATCTTGTGACCACTAGTTATATGAATATTATAGAAATCTTAAATGGTGGGTATAAGAGTCTAATAAAATAATATGTTTGTTAGCATATAGCATTGTCTTATTAAGTGTTATATCATACTAAAAGAAATTATCGTTTAATGCGTTATAGGATACGTTGTAAAAACCACTAGAAAATAGTTTAATATGACAACTTTTATTAAAAAGCAGAATGATCGAAACCAAACGCTTAATAAAATCAAGCAGTCCTTAAGACAACGCTATTCGACTGTTATAAAATAATTCAATCCTTTTAGAATTTCTTTTTGCTACTTGGGATAGCTGTGTTCACTCCTTTCAACTCTTCAAAACATACAGGGTTGAATCTTAAATAGTGCAAATATTTTCAGGGTTGGTAGATCTCGATAAAAGAAACATATTTTCTCTTTACCGTTTTTCAAGTCCAAAATAACCGAGTTATCTTACTTTGAAAATTAAAAAAAAAAGATTTTTTGCTTAAATTTTGGATCTTTTCTGGATTTTATTTCATGCAAAATTTAATCTACTACCTATGTTGCCATTTTATCAAGAAATTCATATTATTTTTTTTTTCAAAAAATTCCAATATTTCAATTTTTTTTTTCGTAAAAAACTCATAATCATCGCTGATGACTGGTTGACTGGTCGCGGTCGACCCAATCAGTACCGAAAATTCTAGGAAATGGTGTACATCATGCGTTCAACTTCACGATTTAATTACGTCTCGTGATACTTAATTTGTTTATTTATTAACGAGTCGTAATTTTCCCTATAGCTTGTAAATTTTTAAGTGCAAGTTAGAAACACTTGCACTTTTGTTAAAAATAAGTGGAATTGAGTTGGTGTTCGACAGTGGTCGCGCTATTTAATCTCGCGCTAACTCTGAATTCAAAAATACATATCTCGAAATCCATTAGAAACAATTGATTGTAGTTTTTTCAAAAACTTTCTTAATATTTCTGCCATATTTTCTTCGCAGACAGTATGTGAAAATCTTTATAAATAAAAAAGTTACATGATTGTTGAAAATTGCTATGCACTAAAAGCGAATGGATGGGTTTTTTAAAATATTTGAATGGAAAAAAAACAAGCCTATCGATTTTTTTTTGTTATTTAAACATCTTGTAAAAGATCCGAACTTCAAAATAAAAAAGTTTCAATATCTAAAGTGGTTCTTAAGTTTCTCAGAAACATATCTAATGATTTTATCTAGTTATCTTTAAAAATAAGCGGTTTGCGATCGTGATTTTACTTTACTTGATAGGGAATTCATCGCATTTCTCTCACTCCGACTTAATAATATCCCTAGGCGATTTACTTTCACACTTGTAAATACCGAGCCAAAACTAAAAGTTGTGAGCACGGTATGGGGAATGTCATCGATATCCATCGCCATCATATAGTACTTGACATAGTATCATAAGATCGTCTGATTAGTCACAAGCATAAAAGATATGTAGCCAGTTTATATAACAGTATCAGAGGAATATACACAATATATTCTGGACAAATATTTCTCTAATCATGTTTGCTAGTTTGTTGACAAGAGAAGATTGTAAAAAAATTAAATTGTATTTTTCTGAAAATTTGTTCTGTAAAGAGATGACTAAAGGACGGTAAGCTGGAAAAATCAATAAAAACAATCTTCGGATTGTCACGGGGTTTCTAACAGGACACTGTCTCCTCAACGAACACCTCAGTAGGCTGAAGCTGAGAAACAACGGCGAATGCAGATTCTGTGGGGAAAATGGGAAAACACCAGAACACCTTATCACTGAGTGTGCCGAGACGACGACCATTCGTGCCATGAACTTTGGTACGTCTGATGTCGAGGATGGAGAGCTGGCCTCTGTGGAGCCGTCTCAGATACTGGCCTTTGTTAAAGCCCTGAGACTGTATGATGAGATATAACTCGTTATAACTCAAGAAAGGGACACAATAGATCTATAACGTCGAGGCGATTAGCTCCCCTCCTAAACATTCTACATTCTACATTCTACAAGCTAGAAAAATAACTATAGTCTGTTCAACTAGAAGATACATGACAGTGACAGTTGTATCTGTCATTTTAATGCACACGTAAATTGTATTTCCTGTGATTTTTCGGATGTCGTCTGTCGAAATATTCCCAGTCTCGTTGAACAGACTAAAGTTGTAAGTAAAGTAAGCAACACAGAAAGAGTAATATTGTATAAATATTTTGATTTCGACGTCATTAAAGGTTAGAATTTGACATACAAAGTCAAATGTAAAGCAATCCAAACCAGCTTTTAGAAAAATGTAGATAATTTTGACCTGTAGTGTCTCTTGTATGTGACTGTGACTTCTGCAGATATTGAAATATATTTTTAACAGGATCTTAAATGAGAAATAGTACAACACTCACTTCTCTTATTGATATTAAGGTTGTCATGATACGAAATTCATGGAAATTCAGATACAAAAAGGCACATAAAAATCACGACAAATAAACACAGAACATGAACATCAACAAAAAATCTCACTTTAAAAAAAATCGTCAGGTATTCGAAAAAATAAACCGCTTTATATGGACTTACCCCACCATCTTAACCACTTTCTATGTTTACGATAATATCTGAAAGCTGAAATTAATAATATAGTCTTAGTTAAAGTTGTACGATTTTAATAAAAAATGCAAAATAAACCACAAATGCAATAATATAAGGGTATTCTATTCGACAAAAAATCACACCCTAAACCAGTCACACTTATTAGTGACACACGTTATAAGTAAACCTATTTTCCTGTAATACTTATAGGACCTATAAATACCCGACGCATTATTGCTGGACCCTGTATAATTAAATATACAGGGTGTTTCAAAAAACATGTGCCATCTTCAGTAGGGAGATTCCTCACGTAAAAATAAAATGTATTTTTCATATCAACATAGGTCAGATTCTGCGTTGTTTCGTAGCTACAGGGTGTTAAAATCTTAATATTTTTTCGATTTATTATAATTTTCTTCCAAGTGCTTTTAGCGTTTTTGAATGAAATTTTGAGGGTAAAAGTTACTATATATAAATGCGGCATATTTTAATGCTAAAAAAGTGTCGACATATTCACCAGGGACGTGCATATGGGTTATCACTGGAATATTTTTCAAAAAAAAGCATGTATGCCACTGACTTTTTTTCTCATGTTAGCGACTAGCTTTTTTTTCTCTTGTTTCTCTGTTGAGATTTTGTCGTTTTTGGCCTCCTTGATGAGATAAACGCAATTTTATTAATTTGCCTTGATCCTAAGTACTAAAAATATGAAAAAAAGTTCAACAAAACAGGGTATGGAAATGTATAGTTTTAGAGTTACAGGATGTTAAAACTTTTTAAAATTAGTTTTTTGTAATTATCCTAAATACCATTATTTTTTTTTTATTTGAAATTGCTGTACAGTACGTCTGTCCGTTCTGTGGCTACGGGGTATCCGTGAGAGGGGAAACGATATTCTCTCGATGTTTTTCGTAAAAAATTAGACGACGCGTCCCATCAATAAAAATTCGACAAATTTGCAAGCAGCCAATAAAATGAGTGGGCGGAGCGATTTGCGGTGACGTACTCGTCAAGTCGACGTATAAGCATTAAACGTCATACACAATTTTGATATCAAAAGAAAAAGAGTCATTGGCATACATGCTTTTTTTTGAAAAATATTCCAGTGGTAACCCATATGCTCGTCCCTGATTAATTTATCGACCCTTTTTTAGCATTAAAATATGTAGCATAGTAACTTTTACCCTCAAAATTTAATTCGAATCACTAAAAGTACTTGGAAGAAAATTATAATAAATCGAAAGAGTATTAAGACTTTAACACCCTATAGCTACGAAACAAAGCAGAATCGGACCTACGTTGATATGAAAACTAAATCTTACTTTTACGTGAGAAATCTCCCCACGAGAGATGGCACACGTTTTTTGAAACACCCTGTATAATCAACAATAACCCTTACACTCTAGTGTAAGAATATCAAATGATGCACTGTATACCTAGTACAAATATTATAAAATATATAAAATACTAGCTGCGCCGGCAAACGTTGTATTGCCATATAAATATTTTTTTATGGGACAACAATAATTTTTAATCACGGGTTTGAACATTATTGAATTACTAATATCGCTGTTAAAAAATAGGGTATGTATGTATTGATGGTAGAAGGGTGAAAATTTAGGATTGTATGTATATTTAATGCCACATCATAAAAAAAAATAATAAAAAAAAAATTTGGGGTGATCCACCCTTATCACTTAGGGGTATAAAAAATAGAATGTACAACCTATTCTCAGACCTACTGAATACATATAAAATTTCATCAAAATCGGTCAAGCCGTTTTGGAGAAGTATGATAACTAAAACTGTGACATAATAGTACTTGACATAGTATCATACGATCGTCCGATTAGTCACAAGCATAAAAGATATGTAGCCAGTTTAGATAACAGTATCAGAGGAATATACACAATATATTCTGGACAAATATGTCTCTAATCATGTTTGCTAGTTTGTTGACAAGAGAAGATGGTAAAAAAATTAAATTGTATTTTTCTGAAATTTTGTTCTGTAAAGAGATGACTAAAGGACTGTAAGCTAGAAAAATCAATAAAAAGAATCTTCGGATTGTCACGGGGTTTTTAACAGGACAATGTCTCCTCAACGAACACCTCAGTAGGCTAAAGCTGAGAAACAACGGCGAATGCAGATTCTGTGGGGAAAATGGTGAAACACCAGAACACCTTATCACTGAGTGCGCCGAGACGACGACTATTCGTGCCATGAACTTTGGTACGTCTGATGTCGAGGATGGAGAGCTGGCCTCTGTGGAGCCGTCTCAGATACTGGCTTTTGTTAAAGCCCTGAGACTGTATGATGAGTTATAACTCGTTATAACTCAAGAAAGGGGAACACAATAGATCTCTAAGGTCGCGGTGATTAGCTAACTAAAACTGTGACACGAGAATTTTATATATAAATAGACGTAATTTAGTTAATAAAAAACGAAAGTTAAAAAAGGAAGGTAAAAACCAGAAGAAATATCGCAATTCTTACCTATTGTGCTTTCAACTTCATGATAGGAAACCAAGAAACTATCTTGGGTACTTTCTGGATTTGGTTTCCAAGAAATACTTATTGTTCCTGTTTTATCATCTAACATGGACTGTAGCTGACCCACAGGTAATGGTTCTAAACAAAAATTATCAAAAATTACCAACATTAACAAATTTAAAAAAACTATTTTTTTACCTAAAGTAACGTCTGCAGTTACAGGCCAGGAAGTGACTTTTCCAGACACAGTTTTAACTACCACAGAATACGTTTTTCCTGGCTCTAAGTTATCCTTAAATTCCCAAAATGTCGGTTCATCTCGAAGTCTATGGTATGGCGGTAATTTTCGAATGGTTCCCAGTGATATATGATATTTATCAAATTCACTGTAAAATAAAAAATATAACGTTATTTTTATTTTAATAATTTTTCTATGATGGTTGAGCTTCTAACTCTTTTTTAATACATGTAATGTTACGTCAGTAGAAATAAGCAGTGACGTAACTAGAAATTTGGGCTCCCTGCAACGTTCGGCATGGAGCCCCTGGTACCAATACCTTTTTTAATCGCTCGGCCAAGGATTAGAGCCCAGAACGGAGCTCTCTATATCAGAGGGTATCCCCGAAACCTCGGGGATTAACTGTACACTGTCTGTAAACGACCGTCTTGCGCCAGCAATTACTCGGCTGTCGGTGTTGCCAAGTTAGCCTAGCCTTTCATTTGCTGTCATTTTAACCTGTCTTGTCTTCATCCTTGCCATTACTCGCTGACGAGTATTTGACACGCATCAGAAGATGATTACGCAAGGCATTTTCTTTCATGAGCTTTTCTGTGACTGAAAAGCCCGATACGTGATGTTATCTCTCTTCCGCAATCCGGATATTCAAAAATCTCATTACTTTGTTGCCCTTTACTTTTTGGTTGTCGTTGTTAACTGAGTTTGCATTGCTTCTCCATTGCGTCCTGTTGTGCGCCGATTCCTCCCACTTTCTGCATGCTTATCCCCTTTTAAGTTTTCATGCAAAATATCCTTCTATCTCTTGAGTTGTCCACCCGGTTTCCTCTTACCGTCTACAAGCTCACCGTACAGAAGAGATTTCGGTAGGCGGTTTTCTTGCATCCCGCATAAGTGACGAGCCCATCTTAAGCGGGATTTAGTAATCAAGATTTCAGTGCTCTCGCAGCTAGCTTTTTCAAGAACCGATACGTTTGAGACATGATGATACCGATACCATTTGATTCTAAACCGTTGTCTAAGGTGTCTCTGTTTCAACTTGTTTAATGCGTTCATGTGTCCGCGATACAGCACCGAGGTTTCGCTTCCATATAACATGGTGAGGATTATTATTGCTCGGTACACTGCAAGTTTCGTTTTTATACTCAAGTCATGATTATAGCAAACCCTGTCTTTTAATTTCAGAATGCTCTTGAGGCGTTGCTAATCCTGTTTCTGAGTCGATATGCTCTGAATTTCAGACTCGATATTGGCCTTCTCCGAAATCAAACTGCCGAGGTAAATTAAAATCCGCTACAGGGTCTTGTGCAGAACAGGTCCCCACGAAATCGTGGTTTTTTTTAATTTTTAATGTGGATCCCATAGTTAATGGAATGGTTTAAAAGAAAAAAATTGTTGGATGAACCACTTTTTCTACGAAAAAAAATAATTGAAAATTCCAAATTTTCACTACATTTCAATGCGAAAACTCCCTATTATAACCTTCATAAAGACAGTAAAATACTTGTCAGAAGTTATGTTTACAGTTATAAAAATTTGCCTAACAAAGAAAAAAATGCTTAACGTTGCAGAAAGTTTGCGTTGAAAGAAGCAAAAAATATAAAGAAACAAGAAAAAAACTATTTAAAATATTTAAATTGAACTATTCGAGAACACTTTACTTTTTAAAACAGATTCGTCTACAAGAAATCGTTGACGTTATGTTAAAATGACATTATATTAAGTTAAACTTCAAAATTAACAATTACTACTTGATAACAATTACTTAATAAGGTAAAACCAAAACGCCCAAACTTTCTGTATGATTAATACATTACTAACATCTACAGATGCATGAGCAATACATTTATTTTTATTAGATTGAATTAAAAAGCCTCTTTTATTTTTCTTTTAGAGGCTAAACTTCTTTCATTATGATGTTGGAGTTATTAAAATTTAAAACTGTGCCCTGTGTCCCATGAATGCTGACAAATCTTAGCATTTGTGAAAATCTCCCTTTCTTAAATAATCTTTATGTTCTTTAATTCTAACATTTAAGGGTCTAGATTCATTCACAGGGTATTTGGTATATTACATTTTTTGTTTGTTGTTCTGTATTCATTGGTTTAGTATGTGATAAAATGGATCTAAGTGTATTTTGTGTTTTTGAAAGATGTTCGTATGTTATATTGTTTTCCTATACTTCTTATTTTTTTCCAGAAACGCCTCGTATGTATGGAATTGAAAAGTTGTATATATTGTGTATTGTTATCATTGTGTCTATGATTTGGGGTTTGTATTTCGTTTAATGTTTGGCAATAAAATATGGCGGATAGTCGTTTTTTAAATGTATTTTTATGTGGTTTATATCTCTGTTTAGTGAAATGTCGTCTGTACATATTATTTTGCCCTATCATATAAACTTTTTATAACACCTTTTTACACTTATACTGTGATTAGATGTGAAATTTAAGTATCTATCTGTGTTTGTGGGTTTTTCTGTAAACATCTAAAATTAGTTTATTTTGAAACTTTGACACTAAACATCAAGAAATGGCAAACGATTACCTCTCTCTACTTCTAAAAGTAAATTTATGGTAAGTTCGCGAGAATTTATATAATCCAAAAAAATGTCTATTTCAGAAACATTATGTTGCCATATTGCAAAAATATCATCAACATAACGCAGCCATATTACAGGCTTTTTTGAAAAACTATTTATTGTATTATTTTTAAAATCTTCCATAATAATATTACTTAAGAAAGGAGAGAGAGGTAATCCCATTGCCATACCGAAATTTTATTGAAAAAATTCATTATTTAATTGGAAATAAGTAGTTTTAACACAAAGTGTCAACAGTTCCAAAATACTATCTATGTTTAATTTTGTTCTATCTATTAAATGTGTATCTTGTTCTAATCTATCCCTAACTATTTTAAGTGATTTATCTACCGGCACATTAGTGAAAAGACTAACAACGTCAAAACTAACCATTAAACTATTAGTTGTTATATTTTGACGTTTTTGAAATTTTTCTATATAAAGTGTGGTGTGTTTTTAATGTATGAATCGGTGTTATTTGCAATCGGATTTAATATGTCTAGTAAAAATTTTGCTAACGGATGGCATGGAGAATTTATACTACTGACTATAGGTCTAAAAGGTATACCCTGTTTATGTATTATCGCTTCTTTGATTTTAAAGAACATAACATAAATAAACATAACATACGTAAAATTTAAAAATAATCATACAGAAAGTTTGGGCTTTTTGGTTTTACCTTATTAAGTAATTGTTATCAGGTAGTAACTGTTAATTTTGAAGTTTAACTTAATATAATGTCATTTTAACAGAACGTCAACGATTTCTTGTAGACGAATCTGTTTTAAAAAGTAAAGTGTTATCGAATAGTTCAATTTAAATATTTTAAATAGTTTTTTCTTGTTTCTTTATATTTTTTTGCTTCCGACGACGGAAAGAGAAAACTTTCCGAAACGTTAAGCATTTTTTTCTTTGTTAGGCAAATTTTTATAACTGTAAACACAACTTCTGACAAGCAGCGTCCGTTTAGGTTTAACGCCAGAAGTGTTTACCAAAAATAACTATTTTATTTTGTAGATTTTTCTTGCAGTGCAGTGGCGAAAAACCCATAAAGGATTTTTTTGGATATTCCAATAGTTGTTCTCCGATTTTTACAGCATTGTTATGATTTTCCGGGGGAGTACACATGATTTTGATTTTATCGATATTCAGCTTAAGGCCCAAAGCCTCGTATGCCCAGGTATATGTGTATTGTGTTCAGCATTTCTTGTAATTGCTGTAACGTTTTTGCAACTAGAACGCAGTCATCAGCGTATTGAAGTTCTGACCGCCTTTGTATCTGGATGTAATGCCCATTCCTCTTTCCCGCAGTTTGCTGTCCACTATAATAGAGAGCGCTGCCATGAATATGTTGAATAGGAGAGGCGCTAGAACACATTTGACACAGACATTTGGCAACACCGGCAGCTGTGTTATTACTGACGCGAGACAATCGTATCTGTGAAAAGCTTAAATACAGATGTTAAAATGATTCTCACCTTTTACCACTAGGTGGCTCCCAATGCACAACGAATGAGTTTGTAGTAATTTTGTCTTTGTCGAAAGTAATTTTTCCAGGTTTTAAAGGAACGGTTCTGTATTGAGCAGTGGTAGGTGTTGAAATTTCATCTTCGGACATTGTTTGAACTGATATATTGTAAGCTCGACCTAAAATAGATTAGGAAACGCTAGAGTGATAAAACATTTTAAATAAAAAAAAGTTCATATTTAATTAAATATGGAAGAAAATGTAATTGAAATATAATTATATTTCAATTAAATATGAAACTGAAATATTATTATTATTTTATTATTTTATTTTTTTATTTTTATATACTATTTTTACTCAGCAATTATTAATTATTGGAGTTTTGGCTAAGAGAAGCAGTTCCAGTCATACGTCATACTTAAATTTCGTGTTAAAATTGTGTATATTTTTTTTTAATTATGGCAATAAAAAATAAGTCCGTCCTTACCTGGAACCAAGCCTTTGAAAGCTGCCTGCGCTGGACCGGGTGGTTCCCCCTCCTTTTCAACGTATAAAATAAAATCGTTGGCATCTGGAGGATCAATAGACACTTTGTAGTGAGTGTATATAGCTGCCGGATACGGAGGCTGCCACAGAACCAGTAAAGTTGTTTCGTTCCTAAACCACACGATAAACTTTCCAGGAGTGTTGGGTTCTAAAAAAATAATAAAAATTTAGTCAGAAAAGCTAAATAAATAATTTTGCAAAAGGTAACTATTAAACACAAATTGTGTGTTTTTTCAAGGCTGGCAGTACCACATAAGCGTTTTTACTCACGAATTTTGACATTCTGTATTAATAAAGAAAATGGGCAATAGTACAGTAGCCTACTTGTAATCACTATGCAAAATTATTCAAAAAAGTATATACAATCAATCTGTGTAATAGCGTTGATTGAAAGAATTGGGAAGATACACAACCTAATGGGCGAATTCGTGACAAGGCTGATTTGATTTCCCCTTGCGTCTCAAGTGCTGTACTATTCTGCGGTCAACGCATAAAACATTTATTTTCTCTAATTCTATTCTCTAACTAAGGCATCTCGAAGACGGTATGGATCTGAAAGCGACAGTGTTGCCATATTAAAATGTGTGATATAATAACGAACTTAAAATTTTGTGTGATATAATAACCAAATTAAAATGTGTAATATGTTTAACAAAAATATCTTTGGATGAAAAATCTGCGTTTATGCATTGAAAATGTATTCGTGTTAAAACATAGAATAAATAACAAAAATAAAATTCTTTTTTAGTTACTGAATATGTAGTATGATCGAAAAAAGTCGTTTAGTTGACTTGGAAATAACAATTATTGACATTTACCATAATATTTTACATACTAAATAACAACGATCTTCATTTCCAAGCCTCTCTGATCATATAATATATTAAATAGTTAATGATAGAAAATTCGTATTATTAATGTACTGTACCCAAAATCCGTAAATCTACGGATTAATCAGTAGTTCTGGCAACACTGTCTCCGGCAACCACTCACTCTGTCGACTGAACTACGCTACAGTATTCTTTATCCGCTGTGCTGTAAGCGATTATCATGAGCGCGCAGCGGCGCAAAGCTAAACTAAATCTCGGAATTCTCGGACAGGCTGAAGCTGGATTTATAAACTCGGAAGTTGGTGTTCAGTTGAGGTTCAGTTGCAGTTGGATGTTCGCGGCAGTTGAGGTTCAATATTTTTGCATTTATAAACTGTCAGTTTCGGTTGTAGGTTAGGTTTGGAATTGTGAAAATTTCAAACGTTTTTCTTTCGATTTAAAAATACTTTTGTTATTTGTCAAAGTTCAAACACAGAAACACACCAAACCAAACACAGTAATCCACGATTACGCAAAATATAAACATTACATTAACAGAAATAATGAAACAACAATAAGGGTCATTTTCCAATGCAACGGCGTACTGTGCTTCACGTGATCGACAGGCGCTTATTCATTGGCTGTCGCCGAACGTCGCCAGCGGTCGCCAACTGCCCGCAACTGCCGACATAAACATTGACCATCTTTGAACTCCGTTGAACCATAGACTTAAAATAAAATATAGACTACACTATTTACATCTCAACGCGGACAAACAACCTTTTTTGTACACATGTTTACTTCTGGGTACAGTCGACCGAGCCTTCCTCATCCAGCCTATGTTGTCACGTCTTTAATATTATCAATATTTTTTTTCTTGTTATACACATATATTGAGATATTAATACTACAGTTTAATAAAGTAGGTTTTAATATTCCATAGATGTATTAAATAGTCCTTATATTACTAAATTATAAGTCGGATACTCTTTAATAAGGATAAGTTCTTTACAATATGACAACACCGATTAGAGGCGAGGGAGCCTATTCATTCATTTATTACCAAGTTCAAACACAGAAACACACCAAACCAAACACAGTAATCCACGATTACGCAAAATATAAACATTACATTAACAGAAATAATGAAACAACAATAAGGGTCATTTTCCAATGCAACGGCGTACTGTGCTTCACGTGATCGACAGGCGCTTATTCATTGGCTGTCGCCGAACGTCGCCAGCGGTCGCCAACTGCCCGCAACTGCCGACATAAACATTGACCATCTTTGAACTCCGTTGAACCATAGACTTAAAATAAAATATAGACTACATATTTACATCTCAACGCGGACAGACAATATTTTTTGTACACATGTTTACTTCTGGGTACAGTCGACCGAGCCTTCCCATCCAGCCTATGTTGTCACGTCTTTAATATTATCAATATTTTTTTCTTGTTATACACATATATTGAGATATTAATACTACAGTTTAATAAAGTAGGTTTTAATATTCCATAGATGTATTAAATAGTCCTTATACTACTAAATTATAAGTCGGATACTGTTTAAAAAGGATAAGTTCTTTACAATATGATAACACCGATTAGAGGCGAGGGAGCCTATTCATTCATTTATTACCTTGTAGTACGCGTGGCAAGTGTGCGGTAAAGCTTTGATGCCGCTATGTCCCCGGCTGTATTAACGCATTTTCTTAGTTTGTAGTCCTTAAGTGTTTATTTTATTGACTTTTTCTGTTCAAGAACTATAAAATATGGTTCGCCAGTGCCAAATTTGCAAGAAATTTGACTTAAATAATCCATTTAAGTCTTGAAACGACTTTCGACCGGTAGACAACTCTCAATTTGCCCATTGGGAGCCAGTGGCGTTGTTGTAGAAAGGCGCTTATTTAGATAATATTTTAGTAAAATGTAAAATCTGAATTTTTTCTCATTACATTATTTACTTACTTACATTGTAACAAAGTCATAATTATAACCCTGTTAATAATTAATAATGATTTTATTAAAAATATGGTTTATTCTAAAATTATCTTGAGCATATAAAATAACATACAAGAATTTTAAATTGATATTACATTATGAAACAATATTTTTTAATATACCGGGTCGTCTCAAAAGTGGCTCACCCCCTATAACTTTTTTATTTTTTCAGATAAAAAAAACAGATTTGTATGTTATAGGTATATGACATAAATTAGGATTTATTGATGTATTCAGTTGTTTTTGGTCTCTTCCTGTTTCACCGAAATGATTACATCTTTTTATTTTTAAAGGCAACCTCGGTATATTGCTACTTTATTCGATAAAAAATGACACTCTGAATAGAATGACATATCATATGTCAACTTTTGACATTGTCGCTGAAAAACAAATCGTATTTTAAATTTCAATCCAGGGTGCCATGGTGTTGTTAAAAACACTAAGTTTTAATCAAGGAGCCTTGGAAAAATAGTTTTGATCGTCTAATAGGTTTCGTGTCTTGTCTAAGTCGGTTAAAATATGTACAAATCGTATTTTTAATCATACATATGTCAATTTTTTCAAATGGAACAAGGGTGACTCATTAGCATATTTGGAAAAAGCATTTTTTTATGAATATATTGATACCACACACTTGGTATTTCGAGGTCAAATTGTCGTTATGAACCGCGATGTTACAATTACAATTAAACCATATGCGAAAATGTCAAAAGTGGACATATGGTATGTCATTCTATTCAGAGTGTCATTTTCTATCGAATAAAGTAGAAATATATCGAGGTGCCGTTTAAAAATTAAAAGTTATAGTCATTTCCGGTGAAACAGGAAGTGACCAAAAACAATTGAATGCGTCAATCAATCCTAATTTATTTCATATACTAACATACTAAATCTTGTTTTTTTTATTTGAAAATATAAAAAAATTATGGGGATGAGCCACTTTTGAGACGCACCCGGTATAATAAAGACAGTACCGAGTTATAAATGTAGTTTTTATTTTATCCACTTCCTATCACCTTCCTTGCTTTAATGGAACAGATTTATGTTTGCTCTAATTTACATAATAAGACATCACTTAACCAGAAAAAAAATTACAACAATCATATTTTTTTTCTCTCCCTGTTGCCGATTCTATTATATCTGTGGAATAGATCCTGTTTTGATTAATATTAGGGGTTGTAAATGTTTGACTAAAATTAATAATTTATTATTAATTTCAAAAATTACCTAATTTCGATGATAAAATTTCTTCTATAACGTGTATTTTATTATTTTTATCCTTTTTGGACTCTAAATTGTTTTTTCTAAACTTTTATTTAAAAAATCTTAATAAAATATAAAAAAGTTTAAATACGATATATTTTTAATTTAATTATAGCTTCATTAAAATAAAAAAATTACCCGGCTATGATACGGAGAGTTCAGGTGTACTTGAGAAACGAAAGACAGTGTTGTGTTTCTCGGCAGAGTCGTCAGGGAACGACCGTTACGACAGAGACAACCTATCTATCGCTCGTGTCGCACTCGTTATAACCTAAAACAATAACACAACAATAACAAGGCAGTGTCTGACCGCATGTTCCAGCTATTTATGAATGAGATGCTCAGTCTATATTTTATTTTAAGTCTATGCGTTGAACGTAAAACGAACTGCCAACTTTTCGACCAACTGACTTTATAAATGCGCGCGTTCATTTCATAGCGTTGAACATTTTGAACGGCAACTGAACCTCAACTCCCGAGTTTATAAATTCAGCTTGATGGTAACGCCAGCTATATCTCGGACAGGTTTTGTGCCACGAAATCGCCCATAAGGTTGAGCATCTTCTTATTTTAATCAACGGTAATAGTATTCTAGACACAGTTTTAGAAAAAAATATTATTGCATGACTTACTCGTAGTAAAATTTCTGGAAGTATAAGCTGCACTTTCTTTGTTTTCAAATACTGTAAAGGCTTGGACTTGGTAGGTTGCTCCTGGCACTAGATCCTTCAGTGTATACTGAGTGTTTTCTACGTTTTCAATTGTTATCGCTTTTCCATCTGAAATACAAAATTTAACATAAGTGAGGCATTTAAAAAAAATTATTTAACAACAAATATCACTCAAAGAGAGTTTAAAAGAAACACTTTTTACGTTTTTTTGAAATCTTTAGCAGTTTAAAATATGTATGATTTATGTTTAAATGAATTTTAGCTGTTCAAAAAATAACACATTTTCTATAACGAAGATATATTATGCTATGAAGATTATTTCTCCTATGCATGAAGGCAAAAACCAAATAGAAAAAAATATATGAACAAATTATATGAATTAAATGACATTAATGTTAATATTATGAAGTGAGTTTAGGCTATATGGATAAATAGTAATAAAAAGTACGTAACATAAAAACAAAGAAGTACTCAACACTTCAATAAAGGTTTAAAAACAAAGTCAAAGCTTCTTCCACTTACCCCACCTTTCTCTTATTCTAATAAAACTATTAGGATCTAGAACATTATAAAATATTCCCTTAATTTTCTACAAAAACATATATCTAATGGACCTGTTTATTTATTTTTGAATATTATGATTATATTTTCTTTCATTTTCTAAAATCGTAAACAAAAAACTCACGTCTTTACTTATTTATAATACCGGGTGTTTTTTAACCAGAGCCACCCTCAATCCATTTGAAAAAAATGAGTTATGATTAAAATACGATTTGGGAATCCCACCAGAAAAAAACACGAAAAATATTAGACGATTGGAACTGTTTTTTCAAAGTTCCTTGATTAAAATACACCTTGATTAGCAAAGTTCCTTGATTAAAATGATTAGCACACCGCCATGGCACTCTAGATGGAAAATTTAGATGCTATTTTTTATTGAAAATGTCAAAAATTTGCATATGATATGACATTCTATTCAGAATGTATTAAGAAATAAATTAAAAAAATACCGGGAGTACCATTTTCGGTGTAACAGGAAGTGACAAGAACTAATTTAATACTTATATCCATCCCGGTTTATGTCATGTACTAACGTACAAAATTTGTTTTTTTTATCTGAAAAAATAAAAATGTTATAGAGGTGAGCACTTTTGAAAAACACCTGGTACACAAATCCAAATATAAGCAAAGGTTCTTACTGCTGATACTGGTGACTATATTAAAACGTCTATGCCAGGAACTTAAATCGGTCAAACAAATAGAAACAACAGTTAACTGCTAACAGCAGGAACAGAGATACAAACTAACAGTTCTATTTTGTTAAACAAAAAAAATCTATTAAGTTACAACTGTTTTGTGTTGCAGCCTTACCAATTTTAGCTTTTGTTTTGTTTTGTTTTCGCGTTTTGACTGTTTAACAATAAAATAAAGAGATCAAAAAACTGTTATTTTAAGCTGTTGTCGTTAATAACAGTAACGAATCCTAACTGTTACTCAGAAATAACAGTTTTGCCCACATCTGGATCCAATGAAATACTCTTGTTTCATACGTTTCTATCGCCGAAAGCATTTCACCCAGACATAGTGAGATTCAATTTGAAATGCTATGTTTACGCCTAATGTAACATCTTTATCGTTCGATGGTGAATTTATATATAACTAAATATAAAAAATAAATAATAGACAAGTCCATTGATAATAATTAAAATCAAAATAAGTTATGAAGATAGTGGTATTCTTACCTGGTATGTGTACCAAAGGGTTGATCTTAAGTTTAAAGCTGGTATAGCTGCCATTTGCCGGTGGAGACCAAGATATTACAGCCTGTTTACCGCTTCTAACGTAAACAGACAAGCCAGAAGGTGGATCTGGAACTAAAAAGCAACAGAAATAATTTAAAAAAAGGAAAGGAATGCGTACTGGTATAAATTCTATAATGGTTGTTTTTATTGGGATTATTCACTTATTTAGAGCATATTTGCTGTTATAGTTCTGTCGAACGAGAGAATGTAGTGGTAGTGTCACTGATATGACTTCAAAAGAAAATTTAACCAGTTATTGCTCTCGAGTACCTGCCACACCTAGATTCAAAGCAATAAATGGTTAAAAATTGGGTTTCTTGGCCGAATTTTGAAAAAAAACTGAAAAAGTTGTTTCTATTTTAATTTTACATCCAATATATTTATAGGCTACGAAAGAAACATTTTGATATTTAGTATTATTCAAATAAGTTCCCAGGATGTATGAACATAAATTTAACTATGCAATCTCGGTAAATGGGAAAGTTATTAAGTCTCCAATCGACATAACAACAATAAAAACTATTCTTTAACAATATTGGTATAATATTCAAAAATATTATAAAAGATATATCATAACCACATTAGTTATGAAAATTAGAATAGATATATTTTTTCTTCATACATTTCTCCCCAGTACGGTATGATCGAAAAAAAAACGGTGTCCAGTTGGCTTGGAAATGAAGCGAAAATGGAATTTTTTCCTCATACATTTCATAGACATCGCTGATGCCGTTTTTTTTCGATCATACTGTACTTCCGTCAAAAAAGCCAAAAAACATAAATCAGTACGGGTAAAACTAGAGCCGGACATAAAACTAAAATAAATATACTAAAAGATATTTATTACCCAATTTATATTTAGACTGTTCTATTAAATGAAAAAAAATAACAGGAACTAGAATATATAAAGGTAAGCAAGATGAAAGACGAAACATTTGTTTCGACTTTCGATGCATGTTATAATGTAGCATGTGTGTTTTCTGATCTAGTAGTATAGGCTTGGTGCATTTCAGTTGATTTTTTTTAAATCGGTACTGAGCCCAAGTAGCATCTATCTGACTTCGAACTAAATCTGACCTGAAGCGACGTCAGACTTTGTGCAAATTTAGGTCGGGTGCTCGTAATACGACCTGTGACGTCGCTTTCCTATTAAAAGCGACGTCGTTGGATCGGAGTTGGTAAATCCAACGATCTGTCGACGTACAAAATAACAACGTACCATTTTTATTAATTTCCCAACGTCGTTCCCACGTTGCTTGCACGACGTACATATACTTGAACTAGCCCGACGTCTACCCGTTGTCCGAATAGGATACGTCTCACTGATAATCCCTAAAGTAACGTCCAATTATATTTTGTTGTATTTTATGTTCATATTTATAACCTAATTTACGTATCTCTATTTACGTCAGTAAATACAACCCATTAAGTAGCATTTGCGACCTAATGAACATCATGAACATAACCTAATAAAAAGTTTTTGTAAACAAACTTAATTTTTTTATTATGCCTAAAAAACACTAAAAAGGCATTTAGACATTCATCTACATTTACAGAAAGAGGTCGAGGCTTTTGCAAAATAATAATAGTAGTAGTGATGTCTTGCCTCCACCCGTAAATGCTTTTTATCCGGAAGAGATGCTGCATTACACTGGTGCATCTTAATTTCATTTTTTAGCTTAGGAAACTAGCAGACCCCATCCTCCTCCGACATGTGAGGTTAGGCTTAAAAAAGTGGCTGCCCATTTTTTTAAGGAGAAAACAAAAACTAAAATATAGTTCCACTAATCACTGATACGCAAAGTGAGGTTACGTGGCGTACGTTGGAATTATATAAGTCATAATATGATTGCCGGTCGTCCGGTTTGATGACTTCGGTCGTGTGAGACGACTAATGTTGGAGACCCGGTCGGAATTGGTATGTTGGTAGTTCATATTAAGTCGGACACAGAAATCCGCCATTCTTAACACATATCCGATTGTCAGCCATTTTAAAATCGTTTTTTGTTTTTAAAATTTATATTCACATTTCGATTTCTAGTAGAATAATATTGATAAGGTTGAGTTTGGGGGGAACCACAGTACAGTTTTATGATTAAACCAGCTAGAAAATTAAAAAAATATTTTGCGAGTTACTTTTTTATAGACATTTTTATTTCATAAATCTACCTAATTTTGAAGGCGCTCGTTGTTTTCCGGAGTATTTTAATCAGATATATCAAGAAAGTGACTTCCGTTGACAAAACTGATGTCTGGATTAATGATTCAGAATTATTATAATACGAAATTAAATTGGCACTTATAGTTATATTCGAGTAGTGATTATGAATCCATTTGTAATTAGGTAGTTTGGTTAGGTTTTTATGTATTCTTGGTAGCGAATATGAAACCAAACGTAACGTAAGTGCTTAGCGACGAATTTTAAGTATCTAAAATCCAACGTAATATGACGTTGGTAATTGGTACAATTACATTCCCTATTAGGTCAGATACCGACGTCGAGGCGACCCGAATCTGTATTCCCCATTTAGGTGCAAATAAGGGTTGTCAGGCGGTTGAACCGACGTTGGTACCCGACGTGGGGTTTATTGAACGCGACGTATACCCGACGTTAGATAACGTCCAAATGCTACTTGGGAGTAAACCATAGCTTTGTTATTTCGTTTTTTAAAGCAATAAGATGTTTTAAAAATAATGAAATTTTGATTTTTCAATTAATTATTTCATAGCTAATTGGTTACTTTTGAACTGCCATAACTTTCATAAGTTTATGTCGATTAACCAGTTTCTCGAAAAGTTTTCTCGAAAACCATCACTCTGGGCGATGTGCAACAAGAGTACCTCTTTTTGTAGAAAAAAGTATGTAGTTTTCAAAAAATGAACCCACGTTGCAAAAAAATAACCTCAAAAAAGTTATTCGCGAAACAACTCCCTACCCTTGCAAAATCTACCCTTTCCGCTTTTCCAAATAATTTTTCAGTATCACCATTTGATTCAGGGTTAAAATTTATGGCAGAGGATTTTTTTTCAAAATTTTATCTCGTTTTTTTAAGCCTACAATTTCAAAACAACCGTTTTTTAAATTCACCCTTTCAGTGCTCCCTTAAGATGCATTTTCCGCCCTATACTTATAGTAACTTTTTTTACTATTTTTAGGAGTACTATCACCCCCCGATTTTTTTTACACCATTTCAATGACACCCTGTATAATAACTGAAGACTTGTTCTCATCTGTCAGTCTCACTGAAACATTCTGACTGATTCAGTGTTACTGAAAGACAAATAATCGGTGCGTGTTCACAAGTTTAATTTTCCTAGTTGAATACACTCAGTTGGTGTTAAGCCTTTTTTTAATGACTTAATTCTTTTTTCTATTTCGGAATAAAGATTTAAAACGCAAATCAGTTTGAAAATGACTTAAAGTCTTAAGTCAGCTTTCGAAAAATGACTTAGTCTTAAGTCAGCTTTCGAAAAATGACTTAGAGTCAAATTATTTAAATTTCCCTTCTCCCAACAATCTATAAGCCTCAGCTACCACTTTTTTGGATTGTCCTTTCACCGAGTCAGATCTGATAGTATATGATATATGGTATGGTTAAAATAAATTGATTCTAATAAGACTTCCTCACCTGTGGTAAAGTTTGCTGTCCAAGTGAGAGTGTTATGCGTGGCGTTCGAATAGTACAGCCAAAAGTCGTACTTCGTCCCCGGTAGTGCGTGCGAAAATTTGATGACATCGCGTATATTTTTCGAGGCTATGGTGGTGTTGGGGGCGGGGTGTCCGAAAGGAGGATAGTAATCCAGTCGGTAGACCACGCCCTCTTGACCAAGACTCCATGGAATGTGGATTACGAGTTCTGCAGCGGATACAATCTGAAATAGAAAAATAAGTTTTATATAAACCTTCAATTTACACTCTCCTAAAATGGTTAATCTCTTTTATACTTTCAGAAATTTTCATACCGTTTTAGAGAAAATAAAAAAAAAGTCCAAAGTCCTAAAAATCAAAACGCGTTTCTATGGTAATATAATTTCGTTTTCATTCTTTGATAGTTTTTTGTTGATAGAATTTTAATTAACGGTCACATTTTTTGCCCTTTTAAAATGTTAAAGAAGCACAAAATTTATTTAGTTCAATGCTGCGGAAAGGTAATCCTAGTTATCGGAAAATGTGATACTTTAACAAAAAAAGTATGACGTTAATCAAAATTAATAATATCCATTTATCAAAGAATGAAATCTAAATTATATCAATATAATAACTACGTAACTATAAAGACGCGTTTTGACTTTTAGGACTTCAAAGCATATTTTCATGAAAAATTCAAGCATATTTTTGTTTTTTTTTATTTTCCCTAAAACGGTAGGGAAATTTGTGAAAGTATAAACGGGATGAACCGTTTTAGAAGAAGCAAAAATTTTAATGAACAATGCATTTTTCTCAAAATATCAATAATAAAAAAGTTTTTCCTCTTGTGAAGACAGTACGGGGACATACTGTAGTACTAATTAATATACACGAACATATTTCATGGCAATTTTATTCTATTAAATATTAGCAGTATATTTGCAATTAAAATATTTGTTTTTACCTATCTGGTATACAGGATAATAATTGGTTTAAATAAACCAATTCGATTTAAGTGAAAGGAAATGGTATAATATTGGTCCAAAAATAGATTTAAAAGAAAACAACCCGTTTCATAATTTTATTATATATGTATGTATATGAAACTGTATACATATTCAAATTCGACTACAATTATGTATAATTATTTTATTTAATATTTCATTCTGTTGAAATCGGGCTTCGACAGATTTAAATCACTTATATATAATTTAAATTACGTTTTAAATCGGTGGTTACAAGTTTTTGTTCTTACAAATAATTTAACTCAAAATGCTATAGCAAAATATCAATATAATAACTACGTAACAAAAAACAGTTTTCCAAATAATAAAGGTTGATTCTCACTATACAGGGTGGCGCCTCTCATATGACGCGGAGGCTCCAAGGAAAACCTTTATATCGAAATGAAATTTTAGGAACATATGTAAGTTAATTGAAAGCATTTTATAAAGATATATACAGTTCTACAGGGTGTCCCGAAAAAAGTTACGCATCAAAGTTTTGAAATGGAACACTCTAATTGATTTTCGGTTTGTAGAAAAATAAGCATATGCCTAAAATGTAAGGACTTTGACATATTTCACATTTTTTGAAAATTAGTAGAGGAAAGGGTGGTAATATGGAACCCTTGTTTGTTTATATTCAATAACTCAAAAATGTATCATCAATTATTTTTCAAACATATCGCTCATGTATACCTAATATATTTAGAATTATTGTTTGTTTTTGGAATTTAAATAATGCTTAAAGTTTTTTCATAATTAACTAATAATATAAAATAGTACAAATTATCTAACTGTAAAAAGTAGCTGATAATATGGAACCCCCTATAATAAACCAGATATATTTAAAATTTTAGCGATATTTATTCACTATATTCAAAAAATGCAAAACTAACAAAAAATAATTCAAATAAACGAAATTTATTGACAAAAATCACAGACCCAGTCGGCTTTTTCACAACCAGAACACAGAACATTTGCCCATAATTGACATATAAGGCACTGGATCCATTTTTCTCCTTTCCAGTTTTTAAAAAACCATTAATAGCAATACTTGCAGTTTGACACTTTAAATATGCCTTCGCAAAAAGTTCTGATAAGATCTGCCATTTCCCTTTTGACCCAACTACCTAGGTATTTTGGTCTGAACTATAGATAATCCCGTTTCGTCAACGTTAAAAACGCGATCAGCCGTATATTTTCTCTTTTCGTATTCCATCTCGAGGATATCAAAGAATTTAGCTACAGATTCTCTATTGAATCTGTTCGCCCGAGCATACGATGTTCCAGTTGGTGTTCGGATAGACAATCTTTGTTTATGACGATTTAAAAAATGATCCAGCCAAGCACGACCGGTTTCTTCTTTATTCCCAAACGGATGCTTTATTCCGTTTCGTACAGCCAATTGATAGGCCATTACTTTAACGTCTCTGCGGGTAAGCCCAAAATATTTGCTTTCCATCAGCAGCAAGTATTCGACTAGTTGTTGTTCAATTTCAGTAGAAAAAACGGGTTTTCTACCTAATTTTTTTTCGACAACTTGTTCGGGTGAATATTCGGTGTCGTGAACTAGTCTTTGCAAAGTGCTTTTTGGCACCTTATACAATTTTACAGCCTTTTTCAGGCCCATTTTCTTGGAACGCACCATTTCAACAGCTTCGGCCATTGCTTGTTTGTCCAATGTTTTACTTTTGCCCTTTGCTTTCGGGGATAATGAACTTCGGGGCATAGTGCAATCTGCAACAATCCATTCCAATTTATACACTCAGGTCAATTATAAATCTGCATATAATATGGAACCCTTGTATATAATATGGACCCAGGTTCCATATTACCAGCAACCAAGGGGTTCCATATTCCAAAAAGGCACATGCTAATAATCAATTTATTTTTTTTCTTGAACATCTAAATAAACAAAAGCTTACCTTTCTAAACTCGATATTAGGCAACACTTTCAAGATTTAATGAACAAAATCAACGAATAAATTCACCACAAATCGCTTTATGGCTGTGAAAAGCAGAGGCAAATAACATTTGATTTTGACGCCAAAGCATAACCTCGAATTAATAGACCACAGTTAAATACTAGGCGGTAGAAACCTTCCTGTGGGCTTTTCGGAACGTAATGATCACGTTTTGGTGAACAAATCATAGATGGCGTTTCTAAATCCTTATTTATGGGGGGGTTCCGTATTACCAGCAGGGTTCCATATTACCACCCTTTCCTCTAATAAATTTTAATTTCAATAACAGCTATTTAAATTGTAATTTACCCTGTATAGCCTGATATATAGTTAAAATAACCATTGTATGTTAAACTAAATGAAAATATGACCCGAAAATTTATACAGGGTGAGAAAAAAATAATATTCAGCATTGGTCGGTTTTAAAAACAAATTACTCCTGTATTTTAAATGGAACCCAGTATATTATTCCGATATTCAATGGATCTCTTCAAAATACTATTAAGGTTGCCTACTCTTCAGACAAATATTTTCCTAGATATTTTCATTTTTATGATTTTGTGTCAGTAGATCTTTACTTTTTTTCATAAAATCTAGGTGGCTATAATATACCTTTTGTTAATTTAACAAAAATCAAAATATGCAGAGTAAAATATTCAAAGGTACTACAAAGATACACGTTTAAAACATAATTTTAATTATTACAGAATTAAAACTAGATATAAACGTATAATTATGTGACACAAATTAGCTAGATGAAATCAAATGCTCAAAATGCTCCCTTTCCTGCTCACTACATAAAATAATTCTCTTTTCAAAAGATATTTTCATGTTAAAAGGCAAATGTGGAGATCTACTTCGAAAAGCAGCCACAATTATTTCTCTCATATTGTCGACAACAGTTGGTCCAGTTTCGTAAAAACTGTCTTTGCCATATCCCCATAAAAATACTCCAAACTAGATAAATAAGGAGCATTTAAATATTCTATTAATCGGTGAATGCACACTGCAGTTAGGTATATGCCAAGAAAATCCTAGCAGGGCCATCCAAACTCAGAATAGGAGAACTCTTAAAGGCCGGCAGGAATGGATCACGTACGCACACTGCAGTATACACAAGCCACTCCCAAGTAACACAAATTGTTTCTTAAGATTTGTAAAAACTGCTATGTCACCATATTTGGTGATATCACACCTGCAGAGTATTGGACTGGTGGAAGACGCCAAATGCAGACTCTGTATGGAAGATGACGAAACCATGAAGCATGCATGTACCTGCCTCACTTGGAGCACGACCAGGTTTGATATGTTTGGCAAGACAATGCTAGACCTATCAGACTTAGGACATAACACTCTATGGTGAAAGGCTGAGTCTTGGAGGTGAACTTTAATACTTTTTTTCTTTTAAAAAGTTTGTAGAACTGAGCCACAATAAGCCCTCGCGACCGCAGTGGTGAGTTAGGATCCACTCTTAGTAAATACAATTCAATAACACCAGGTATAGTTGTAGGTGTAAAGCAAAATACAACATTTTTAAAAACATACTACTACATAGTTTATTACCCTACCGAAGAGAAAGTCGATAAATAAAACCATTATTCGTATTTACTGCTGATGAACATAGTCAACAACGTTAGGACAACGTTAGTTATTCTAAACGTCACGTGTCAGAATTGGGTTTCATCTCGAGCATATAAATGATTCCAATATTCGAAACAAACAATTATTCATACATTATTAATGCAAATGAACCTTCGGCGACCGGAAATATTTCTTAACAGCAACACCGTTTCCTATTCTACCAAAGATGCGATCACATTTACAAAATATGAATATAATTTGCACCTTCGAGGTTGTATCATATACCAATATAATTTTAATAAAGTAAAACTATTTTTTAATTTGAAATAATTTTTAAAAGAATATTAAAGAAGGACGTTGAGTTTCCCAAATTAAAAACAAAAACTTGTTTCGCTTTTATCAGTACCCTAATCTTTTCACCATCCATAGCTTTAAAATTAAAATTACTATATTTATGCAACTTAACAACAAGGGGTACTTCCTTTAATTTTATTATACAAGGTTCAAAGATAAACATCTTACAATATTATCCTTTAATTCTACAGTTTATATCGTAAATAAATCTTGAACGCGGTATCTTTTCTTTCTTCTTAATCTATTAACTGTGATAAACAATTTGTTAAGCGACCAACTTGATATGAACATAATTGTTTAATTTTTATATAAGGCCCTTATAAAAGTTCTATATAAAACCTA